AAGCACTGTATAAGACTGCATAAAAATTGGCAATGTACAAGTAAAGCAAACTAATAATCACATTTTTCCTTTCACTTGACTTATTATCCACATATACTTTTCTGATTAAAGAATATTAAATACATAAACTGTAAGTAGATTTTGCCTTTTAAACTATGTCATTTTATTTATTGTCATCTAGCATTCGCTAAAAAAAAAACTTGGCTCATTTGTTTTATGTTTTTGTAAAACATTTTCCTAAGCCCTGTACAAGAGAGAATAAACTGACAGGCTTTTTCCCAAGGTAAGGAGCCATAGCCCTAACTGTGGCTCCCAATCAACTACTGCTTCAGGAACTTCATTCTACTTTAAGACAGCTTAATGCTCATTTGAAAACTGTTCTCTTTGTGGTCTGGAAACTTAAGAGTCAAGAATCTTTTAAAATCAAAATCTCTAACTGAGAAAGAACCTAAGCACTGGAAATATCCCTCCTTACTGTTGCCAGGCAAGCAAAAATGCATCTTAGAAAAGGGCTCAGAAGTGGAATCAAGTAGGCCTAGATGGCTAATGTACACTTCCTAAGAGTACATCACAATACTGCCAAACTCTTGGGATCTATAAAACTGAACATCAAGGAACCTTAGAAATCCTTCAAGTTAATCCCACACTTCACTGGGGTTAAGGAGTCCAGAGAAGAGCCCTGCTCTGTTCAAGGTCACAAAGCAAGTTATTGACAGAGCTCAGTTTAGAATTTACACTCTTCTCATCTTTCAGCCACTATTCTTTTCCACCCCGTGCTTCTTTATAAAGTAAAATGAAAACAATGCAATTAGAGACCATGGAGAAAACAAATCTATTATTACTGCCAAAACTGTAAACGGGCTTCAAATTTTCCAACAAGTCTGAACTAATGGAGAGAGGAAAAGGAAAACACTCCCAGCAAAGAAACATGGTGGAGCAGGGGAAGCCATGAGCTTTTCAGATTTATCTGGACAACTCTACACCATGGGGAGATGCCAAGAACCCTAAGGACTGAGTCACATGTGAACTTGGTGCAACAAATGATTTTTTAAGTGTTTAGAAATCACTTACTAAGTCAGTACAATATTCTAATATAGTTGAAATTGTTTAAAAAGAATTACTCATGCCTGGGCCGGTGTGGTTCAGTGGACTGAGCGTCATCTCACAGACTGAGAGGTCCTGGAGTTCAATTCTCGGTCAGGGTACATGTGCGGGTTGCTGTCTCGATCCCCAGTAGGGTTGCGTGCAGGAGGCAGCCAATAGATGTCTCTCTCTCTCTCTCATATGATGTTTCTATCTCTCTCTCTAAAAAAATCAATAAAAGAGCCCTGGCCGGTTTGGCTCAGCGGTCCAGGGAGACTCAGGTTTGGTTCCCGCTAAGGGCATGTACCTTGGTTGCAGTTTGTACCCAGGTCTGGTTGGGTCGTGCAGGTGGCAACCACTTCATGTGTCCCTTTCACATCAATGTTTCTCTCTCTCTCTCTCTTCCTCGCTCTCCCTCCCACTCTATCTGAACAAAAAAATGGGAAAAGTGTCCTCGGGTGAGGATAAAAAAAAAAAAATCAATAAAAGCATATTAAAAAAAAAAAAAGAACTACTCATACCATAAATGATTAGTCTTCACTTTTAAGCAGAATGGAGTGTTAAGAGAATAGAGTCAAGGAAAAGAGCTAGGAGCCCACAGGTGAGAGGAAGAGGAACTGAACTAGAAAGATAAACTGGGAATAAGCTAAAAGTAAAGGCACTGAAGACACTACAAAGAAAAACTGAACAGGACCTAGAAATAATTGAACAGATACAAGGATAAAAGCAAAGAAAAAAGAGATGGCTAAGGTTTCTAGATGACTAGAATCCAGGGGACTTTCGGGGAACATGTGTGGTTAGTCCCATTCTGATATTCCTCCATTTTTTTCCTAATAACGAAAATCAAATCATACTAAAGAAACTAAAAATTTAAACACAACATATTGGGGGAAAAATTTTTTAAATCTTTATTGAAGCTCTTGATGACAAAGTGACTTCAATGGCTGACAGGTCTGTTGAATACCATTCACTAATAAAAGAAAGATCAATCTCTTGTCAATTTCTCAACCTCCCTGTGAAATCCCTCCTACGACCCAGGGTTGTTGTGACAATGAAATCACACACACGAAAGCACCTAATCCAGTGCCTGGTTCATGGCTCAAAAACTGCATCTCAAATGTATGTCCTGTCCACTCTCCCAAACTTTTCTCACTGCCTCTCCTATCTATACCTGCAGCAGGCTCAAATTTACAAGTTGTCTGGAAAGCATAAAAACTTTTTTTCTATAACAGGCAGCACTGCTTGGGATTACAAAATCAAACTGGCTGTGAACTATGAGATAGAAAAGTTACAGAGTGGGCCCCCTGCCCGGTCACATGACCTATTTTCCCCACCATGTCAGGCCTTAGTCAGCACTTTTGGCTAAGAGCTGAAAAACTCTTGTCTCTGCTTCCCAGGTATGCCTCAACCCCATCCAACCACCCACCCCAGTGCTGAAACACAACTGCAAGCCTGTTTCTCTCAAACTCAGATCAACCTTCAGGCTCTACTTTCAATGTAGTCCTTCTACCACTCCCTATTCACTTCTAATTATCTCATACTATCTCTTTTCTAACTTTTTCTTTTTTTTTACTCGCTCCTCTTCTCCCTTGCCCCCACTACTTTAGCCAAACAGCTAAGTTTCAAGCCTTTTTAAAATCATTCATTGGCTTGATCTTCCTCCCTACTCTAGCCTAATCAATCTTGGCCATTATTTCTCTTCTGTTCATTCACAAACCATACATAAAATACAACGATGAGGGTTTATGTTCAGTAAAACAATATTCAAAACTATATACACTGAGCCACCTCTTTACAAGTATCCAATTCCTCACCTCTTCCCACTATCTGAGAGTGACTGGCAGAAATGCTTCATTTTCCATTAATCATGCCACTTTACCCATGTATTCAGCTTCTTACTCTAGTATGAAAAGACATCATATATGTTAGTTAGGCCTTTCTTTTCTAATTTCCTACAGTGCAGTGGATAAGTTACTTGGTCTTGGCTACAGTAATTTACAGTAAATTGCAATAACAACAGTCAAAAAATGTTAGCAAAATCTATAATCATGTCTGACTTTGACAAGACTTAATTTCTTGAGGATCGGAATCAGGTCATAGTAGTCTTTCTATTTCTTAACAGCACATAGCATTCTGTTTTCTACATGAAAGGCATTCAGTGACCTTAACTGAATTGTGAAATAAGGTAAAGAACACTGAACTAGGACTTCATAAATATGAAGCGTGGATTTGTTCACAATATGCGTGACTTTGGGACAATCACATTCTCTGGACCTCAGAAACCTCTCCTGAAGAGGCAGGCATCAGTCAGTCAAGAGTAAATTAACTCTAGAATGACTTCTTCCTGACAATCCAGCAAGACCCCCAAATTGAAAGGGGGCTGTTGCTCATTCCTCCCTCCTGCAGCTTAAATAGCCCAGGGCTCTTAGAAGCCCAGGCTTCTATTTGATCACTTACCAGTTGCACACACAGGCAGCATCACAAAATTACAGATTAGGTGCTGCTCCCCAACACCTTGCAGTACCTCTTTTGGCCCATAACCGGTGGGTAATGCACATACAGGGTGGGTCAAAAGTAGGCTTACAGTTATGAGTACATGGAACAGAGTTTATTCTTGTATTACTATTTATGAATTATTGTATTATTTTCCATATGAACAACTGTAGACCTACGTTTGCCCCACCCTGTATATCTGTGTCTGTCATCTCGAGATTATGTCCACATATGATTATATGCACATTGAAGTCAGAGCCAGGATCTTATTCCTTTAAATCCTTCACAAAGCTCAGTACTTAACATAATCAATTTTTAACTTGACCTGAGAGATGGTATTGATAGAGCAAGAGAATACAGCAGTTCTGGGATCAATTATCACTGTACCAAAAACCTTGAGCAAGTCAAAACCCTGCTGGGCAGACAAAAATTATTTTGCAACTCGATGTCAAGGTGTACTGAACATTGACAAAAGTGAATAAAATAATGTTTAATGTTACTGTTTATTGATAAATTAGCATTCTTATGCATTAAATATCCACTTGTTTTTTACAGTCCCCAGGTAAATATTTGAATAATTAACTTGCCTACAATCTGATCTAAGTTAGGCAATGTGTCACTAAATTATCTTTGAAATTCCTTCCCATTTTTCTAAGAATAAACCCAGGGTAATCCAAAAATCAGAAAAATAACCTCTCTTCCACCCAGTCTGCTTAAGTAATCCAGGCCAGAGGAGATGTAGTGTGGTACAGCAGTTCTTATATAACGTAAGTATTTCCCAAGAAGTACAGTGTGGCCAGAAAGCAGCAGAGGTGGCCCAGCACCCAGTGCCTCGCACAAAGTCTACTGAAATCACCTGAACTGAAAGGCAGCCCCGGACTGTTATGAAACGATTGTTTCATGACTTGAGAAACTTAAGTCACCCAGTCCCCGCTGGTCCCTAACTAGCCCTAACTGGGTTAAAAATCAACTCTATCATGACAGGTTGAACTAAGATCTCTAAGGCCCCTTCCAGCTCTAACATCCAGAAAAGCCCCCACGTGTGCAGAACTGAAGATGGCCAGCGCATCCCCATGGCCAGGAGTAAATTCAAGTTCATCTGCCCATGCTCCGGAGCCCCTACCTGCAAAGCAGAACAGTGATTCCCAAGAGGGGGCACGTCCCCTAAAGAGGGTCTATGAGGATGGGGGCGGGGAGCAGGCAGGCGGTTTCAAACCACACCCGCCCTCCCGTTGGAAGAAGGTGTGCCAAGTTCCTCAGATGCCTGGGAAGGAAGGAGGCTGACAATGCCGCACAGGTGTGGACTTTTGGTCGCTCTTGCACATTGAGGAGGTGCAGAATCGCACCCCAGTGCACTGGGGCTGCAGAGAAGGGCGCTGTGTGCCCGCCGGGACCCCCGAGGGACCGGGCCGAGGCTCACTCACCCACAGACTGCTGAAGTAGTCCAGCCCGCGGCAAATCAGCACGCCGGCGTGCGCCAGCAGCACCTGCACGCCCAGGTAGCTGCCGAGGCTGTAGAGGCCGTAGAGGAGCGGGCCTCCGGCGCCGAGCAGCAGCAGCAGGCGGCGGCGGCGCAGCGCCTGCTCGCCCAGGGCCTCGACGCCGTAGTCGGCGAAGCAGAGCGGCAGCAGCAGCGCGGCCAGCACGATGGGCGTGTGCGCGCGGTGCAGGCGCTGCAGCCAGTGGCGGCCCACGCGCGTCAGCGAGCTCTTGAAGGGGTGCAGGAAGGTGCCGCACAGCACGGCCCAGAGCAGCGGCCGCAGGAAGGCCTCCAGGATGAAGTAGACGAGCACTGCGGCGCCGCAGCACAGGCACACGAACAGCACGGCCCCGGTGTTGTAGAAGGCCTGCTTGATGGGCTTGTCGAAGCGCAGCGCCAGCGCCGCCGTCCGCGGGGTCTCGCCGCTGCCACTGCCGCCGCCGCCCGGCCCGACCAAGTGCGCGACCCGCGGCGCGGCGCCCGGGGAGTCCCGCGGACAGGTCGCCACGGGCGAACTGCCGCCGCCGTCGGCCATGGTGCCTCTGCCGCCGCCGCGGAGAGGCGGCACTGGGACGCCGGGAGAGAGCCACCAGCGAGAGGCAGGGCGGGCGGCGCGCGGCCTTGTGGGAGTTGTAGTCCGGGGCTGGCCACCGAGCGCTCGCAGGACCTTTAGCAAACTACAAGTTCCAGAGAGCACAGGGCAACTCTCTTCGCTCCGACGGACCCAGGTAACAGGTTTCTGAGCTCAAAATCTTACTGGAGGAAAAGAAAAGAAAAAAAAAGGCAAACCCCTTGGCTCCGCGGGATCCAGCTAACAGGTCGCTGAGCTCAAAATCTTTCTAGAGGAAAAGAAAAAGAAAGTTCCCTTCAGCTAGGGTCAATGTCAACTTTTCGGGAAGCGGAATCCCCAAGGAGGCACTACATGCGCAGACTGAAAGCCCAGGCTGCACGTTAGAATCGTGAGGGGGAACACTTAAAAAAAACTGATCCCCAGATGCTATTTGGTAGGATTTTAAATAGCGATTACCATATGCCAGGCCCTCTTCTAAATGCCTCATTCCTACCAACCCACTGAATCCTTAGAACAACCCCAGGAAGAAGGTGGTGTTCCTATCGCTACTTTACGAAGAGGAACACTGAAGCACAGAGAAGTTGAGTACCTTGCCAAGGTCACACAGCTAGGAGGGGTCAGAAGGAGGATTTGAACCCAGAGCCAGGCTTCTACTTTGTTCTCTTAACTACTTTGCTAATTGGTTTGACTGGGATCCTTTGGCATATTCTTTGTAAGCTCCATTGGTGCAAGGGTCAGTGTGGGATTGATCTGAATTCCTGAAAGAGCTCTAGATCAGAGTCTCATGCTGCCACTATTTCTTTTCGAGGCCTGAAGTCAAGTCAAGTAAGACCCAACCCCTCTTCCCCTCTGTCACATGGGAATAATAATAATGGAAGCACTTGTCTCAGAAAAGAGAAAGGAAGCTCTGGGGCAGTGCAAGGTGCTTCTGTTCTGTTGGGAATGTCCTGGAATTCAAGTCTACTGGGCGAATTTCAAACAGCATTTCCATTTCAAAAGAAGGAGGAGGAAGGGAAGGAAGGAAAAGCAAGGTAGGAAGCCTTTACTGAGTACCCAATATGTGAGTGCTTCAAAACCCTGCAAGTTACCATTTCCTGTTTTCAATAAGTTTTAAAGTGAAAGAAAAAGGAATTCCTTTTCATTTTATTTTTGGGTTTCAGGTTACAGTCCTTGTTTTTCAAGTGGTCTTTGGACTCTGTAAATATTTTGCTTCCGTTGTCCTACAGTTTGCTTTGCTTCTTAACTACTTTGCTAGCCCTCCTGAGATTATGATTACAAATTATGGTCACATTTGCTTTCAGTATCCATTTTTCACTGACTCAAACTCCCATTTATATAACAATGGTGCCTCAGTCTCCCTCCCAAAAATATCTTCAGTTATTTCTAGGGAGTCTCAAAGGGGTGCCTCACATATACCCAGAGACATGAGTCAACCACCAACCCCCCATGTCCACCCTGCTGCCCACACAACTCACTGGGTTCAGTGCCTGTCATAAGATTGTCAGAGCCTGTGTCATTATTCCCAGATCCTGGATACTTCCAAACTTCTATTTCTCAGGGTACCAAAGCAGGCCTGGGGTCCACTCAGAGATGGAGAGAAAGTCCTTCTCCCTGACTTGCATACTCTGCTCGTTTGTCACCCAAGCCCTAAACCAGATCACTTGTGGCCAGAGTATTACATCTCCTCTCACAAAGAGTTCCTTCCACGTCTGACCTTCAGTCCTCTAACCACAGAGTCTCAAAACCTATCCAAAGGGTTAGTGAAGGAACAGAAACCAAACCACCTCCTCTGTCCTCCTCCAACCACTCTGCTCTCTTCCTCTAATTACAAAATGAAAGATCCCATGTTACATAAAAATATCTGTCTGGGTGCAAACAGAAACTGACATATTCAATGGACATTAAGAAATGGGGTAGTGTTGCCTAAATTGTGTTGGGGACCCAGCTCAGCACATTGAAAATGCCCTATCATAGTGCTCTGCTTCCAAGTCTCAATGAAAGGCAAAATTTCTGAACATTTCAACTGTTCTAATGGCCAAAGCAATAGAACTGACAGGTGTCCGACAGAATTTCTAGTCAAGAATGGAGCTCTAACAGAAATGAAGGCTGAAGCACTAGAAATGGACTAACATTTATATGGCCTAACACTGTGTTCCCACAGGATTTGCTCACCCTCTGTGATTGCACTTACCACACTGCAGTCAAAGTCAGTGGTTTACATGGGTTTGCTGCATTTCTGTGTCCCATCAACTGACACAGCATAGGACATTTGAAATACAGATTAGAAATTCAGTATTTGCTGAGCAAGTGAATAAATCAGTTGATATTTAAAAAAAAAAAAAAAAAAAAGCCTGTTTGTGCTTCCTCCCAGAAATAGTATTAAAAGGCTGGGGATGTTTCTTGTGATTGAGAGCAGAGAAAAATAAAAATACTGGGATATAGGGCCTAAACACCAATTTTGAAAACGCCATATACAGTCCATTTAAATCTCTAGCTCATAGAGCATGTCCTGTTTAGGCATCTCCTCTAAAACATGAGGCTACTTATGTTTTTTTTTTGTTGGCCTCACACAACAATTACTCCAGTGACCTCAGGAGTCCATAGGCATCCAGGATACAGTGGAGAGAAAATAGATTCTGAGGAGTGGATCAAGCTGACCCTGGAACCACACTGATTCTGACCTTTTCGTTGTATGAACCAATGAATTTCCTAATCACTTAAGCCAACTTCAGTTCAGTTTTACATTTCTTGCAACAGAAAACTTTCTGGCTGATAAAATAATAATAGCTGTGAGAATGAAATGAGTCTCCCAAGCAAATCTTTATGGAGTTATACTAAGTACCTGCTTTGTACAAGGTCAGGTGCTCACAATGGAGTGTGTATATGACTACAAAAAGTGGTATAGACAGTGCAGGAGGGGAGACCATGTGAAAATGTGATCAAAACACATGCATTCAGCCCTGGCCGGTTTGGCTCAGCGGTTAGAGCGTCGGCCTGCGGTCCTGAGAGACCCGGGTTCGGTTCCCGCTAAGGGCGCGTACCTCGGTTGCAGTTTGTCCCCGGCCCTGGTTGGTCGTGCGGGTGGCAGCCACTCGATGTGTCCCTTTCACGTCGATGTTTCTCTCTCTCTCTCTCTCTTCCTCTCTCTCCCTCCCGCTCTACCTGAACAAAAAAAGTGGAAAAATGTCCTCAGGTGAGGATTGAAAAAAAAAAAAAAAAAACACATGCATTCAGATTCCCAATATGAGTCACCTTTGCTAAGTCCATGGCAGACATTGCTAATCAACCACTGAATTCTTTCTTAGACAGCCTCAAAACCCTTCTCAGCAGTCCATTCTAGGAAACCACCACCAACTGAAAAAGGAAGCACATGAGATGAAACTTTGCTTTCCTTACTGTAAGTAACCATTGACAGTCTGACACTAAATAACATTGGCCGACTAAAAGCATAGATAACCGGTTTAAAAGAAAAGGGCTTGGGAAGTGCAAGTTAATGTGCATGTGATAAATTACTATGAGATTTTTTAAAAAATCTCAGTGGCTAAAGAACAAATGATACAAACAAGTCTGATACCATCAGGCCCTCCCTGACTCCTCCCCTTATCCATCTTCCCACGACATATGACCCCATTTACAGCACAGGTCCTGCCAGCTCACTGAGTGGAACGGAGCCTCTCCTGCCTCCAAGTTCCTGTCCTTCTGGTGTGTGCCATCCAGCTGCGGCTAACCTTCCATCCTGTGTCAACAGAGGCAATTTTATCAGTTTGTAAAAGGGTCAGTGAAAAGATTATCAGATTGGTTCGTCTAACCAATTGAGACCCATGTACCCAGAAAGGGCCAGATGAATAAAAAGAAGCTTGGGAAGTTCTGCTGGGGAGAAAATACTTAAAAAAAAAAAAAAAATTCTGCAACCAAAGTCACTCCCCCCTTCCTCTTCTAGGGTGGGAGAAAGGTTGGCAGGGAGAAGGGCATTTGCAAGGTAAAATTTGTGATGAACAGTTATTACTAAAAGCCAGAATTGCCAGTCTGGAAAGTGGCTGGCCTTAAGTGTTCTTTACTGGTGGCTCCTCATCTTCACAGGGGTGATTTTTTTTTTCTTTATTGATTTTAGAGAGATAGAAACATCAATGAGTGAGAACATCGATTGGCTGCCTCATGCATGTTCCCCCCCCCACCCCGACTAGGGATTGAGCCCACAACCTGGGCATGTGCCCTGACAAGGAATCTTAACTGGCGACCTCTTGATGCATGGGTCAATGATCAACCACTGAGCCATACCAGCCGAGCTCACAGGGGTGATTTTTATCTGGAAAGTTAGGAATTAGGATTTGGAATTCTTTTTTTTTTTTTTTATCCTCACCCGAGGACATTTTTCCATTTTTTGTACAGACAGAGTGGGAGGGAGAGAGAGGGAAACATCGATGTGAAAGGGACACATCGAGTGGCTGCCACCCAGACGACCAACCAGGGCCGGGGACAAACTGCAACCGAGGCACATGCCCTTAGCAGGAACCGAACCCGGGTCTCTCCGGACCGCAGGTGGACGCTCTAACCGCTGAGCCAAACTGGCCAGGGCAGGATTTGGAATTCTTAGCCCACCCTTTCCTTGGCTGTACTCACGATAATATACTCCAACCAAGGCTGAGGTCATCTACAAACAGCCAGCCTTCTACTGCAAATTAGAGCAAGTCTGAAAACCAGAAAATGGGAGATGCACTTCAAATTGGCCAAATTCCTCTTTATTTATAAATGAACTATGTTTGTTTGAGAACCAAGTCCTGCTGGCTTTAAATCCTAAGGTCACGCCCTGGCCGGTTTGGCTCAGCGGTTAGAGCATCGGCCTGCGGTCCAGAGAGACCCGGGTTCGGTTCCCGCTAAGGGCACGTACTTCGGTTGCAGTTTGTCCCCGGCCCTGGTTGGTCGTGTGGGTGGCAGCCACTCGATGTGTCCCTTTCACGTCGATG